TAAAGAAAAGGACAAAAATACTTCTTTGTCTGCTTGGATCTACTCTAGGTATGAGCAAACGCTGGCCATTATGTTGGGGAAGATACCACCTCCACCAAATTTGAACAGTCTATAACGAAAGTCACTTCACGTCTCGATGCATCGATCATACACTTCATCGCCCACACCAATGCTTCGACCTCTGTGTGTAGTGGTGATAGACTCCTCTGTAAGTTGGCATCTCCCATCGTTGGGAGACCCGTTGGTGTGGTACAATACAGCCCTACACCTACAAAGTTATCGTCGTCCTTCCAGGTTCCATCAATGAAGCAAGTAAAACATGTAGCACATATGACGCCACTGTCCATGAAAGAAACATGTTGGCTTGGTATCCTAATACCGTCGTCAATTGATTCCTCTATATGCGCGGTTTTCCATGACTGTGCTTCGTTCTCAGCCAGACACAACACTTCTCTTGGGTCCTTATCTACATTGTCAAAAACCTTTTTATTTCTAGCTTTCCAGATATACAATATCCAAGGAAACATTGAAATGTCAGAGCCATTAGGCTTTCGCCAGAATAAATAATCCAAGTTTGCATAAATTGAATATATTGGAAATTCTCCGATTGCCGTAGAAACAGGTGATAAGGCCCAAGTCTGAAGAGCTAGTGGGCATCTAACAATTTAAACCTTGATTGACCAAATTTCTATTTACCGATATACATCCTGTAATAATGAATCTAGGATTTTTATCATTTTGGAGTTCAATCTCCCTAGTGCAATGAGTACAAAGGGTTTATCAGTCTAATTTGGGTGAGTTGTAAACATGCCGGATGCAATAGAACCTAACAAGTTAAGCCTAACAATTTAACAGTTTGCATTCTCGATTCAAATGCATAAAAGTAAATGGCTGAAAGAAACTAAGGATCTAAGAACAATACTAAAGCAAGCAAGAACTACATAAGCAGAATTAAAGAAGAAATGAAAAGCAGGTAAACAATCAGATATATAAAGGTATCAAGAATAGGGATAATTGGCTTATGAATCCTCTTAATCTCATCGGGGTGCTTAATGTGCTCAAATAGATCTAATCCTAGACAATGAATCACTAAAGCTAATCAATCCAATCTCTTGGCAAAGATTATCAAATCTAAGGCACTTCCTAATCTCAATTCTCATTGATGAAACATGCAATAGATAGGCATAAAGATCAAGCTCATTAATGTCAATTTACTCCTTAAGCAACTAATCTCTTAGGTTAAACAAGTAAATCTCTTGCATTAGTGGTTCAGACATTTCATCAAACACCTTTTGGGTGCTGAAATGTCTAAGACCTAATCGCACATGATCAAGGCAAAACTAGCTATTTAAACTCTAATCCAGAAGGGATCTATTGAAATCTACGCTTAAACACCCCTAGAGAGTAAGATTCTTCACTAACCTATTCCATCCTCAAGAACCCTAATTCACTACTCAAACCCATTAAACGTAATCACAGAGTCAAACCCATAAAACTCTAAAAGATGCATAATTAGATAGATCTAGATGCAAGAAGCAATACATGATAAAGATTAAATAGCAAACTCCAAATAGATAAAAAGATATTAAGATTACAAGTTTTCTGATGTTTAGGAGGCTAAAGCATAAAAACTTAGAGAAAAATCGAGAGTTTTTACAAATGATGGGAAGAGGTCTATTTATAGCGAGAGAGGGGAGCTCTAGTTCACTAGCAGACAAAATAAAAATTCGGTTGCAAGTGCTGGATCAGCCAGCTCGGTTGTGCACTCGATTAGCATGATCGTGTTATTGGTCAGGTTGACTTCTCGTCTACTCGTGTAGTCACTTGATTCCTCAGATCGGGTACCTCAGCTCGATCGGATGAAAGACAAACACTTGGTCGGTTGCAGGTGCCCGATCAGCCTGCTCTGTTGTGCACTCGATCGGTCTAGTCGAAAAGCATGATCGGATGCAAGATAATCACTCGGTCGGTTGGCTCTATTTTACTCCTTTTTCCCTTGAGAAACACCTCTTTGGACAATGAGAACTACAATGCACGCTACAAGTAAAGTAAAACAACGAGAATATGAGTAAAGAAACAAACGATGAGACCTAAAATGCAACAACGATGCATAAAACTAGTGTTAAAATGATTAAAATCCAGACATGTCAACTCCCCCAAACTTAGCTTTTGCTTTCCCTCAAGCAAATAAGAAAATGCAAAGTAGAGAGAGAGGTTTGAAAGTGAAGATTCAGAACCAACATCTTGCTGCTAAAGTAGTTAGAATCAATATCCTTGTCTATAATTCTAGGATGCAAAGTCATACAAACCACATTCTGAAACTTTAGCCATGTTTGTTTCAACACAATATATCATCAATCTTAGAACCTAGACAAGTACTCTGATCCACCATTACTTTTAACATTCATTTAACACAAACCATGAATCCAGTTGTGAAATGATTACAAACTCATTTGGCTAGGTGTGAAAAGGGTTTTAGAGACAAAGATCGACTCTTTAGAGAAGGTTTAAACACTTTTCATAAACTTAAGACATCAAAGCCTTTTGCTATCCTGTTCTTTTCTTTCTTATCTTGTCAGAACCATCTTTTCTACACTTTGTATTCCCCATGCATCTTTCACCAGAACTTGAAACTTTCTGAAACTCACTACTCTTCTAAAGATTCAACTCTTTTCCTTTCCTTTTCTTTCTTTTCACCATTTCACCAAGTTCCAAATCCATGTAGAATCCCAACCTAGTCCTATATGATCCGAAAAATGAAAATCCGAACTACTCAAGATCCTATTCATGTTGGCACAAACCTATGACGTTCTCCTTAAACTCAATCCATAAAAGAGGCCTTCCACTCAGAATTAATAAAAGGTTTGAAGGAAAAGGGTAGGTTTTTGGGTGGGTAAAGCTACTTTCAATAAAGTTGTAAAAAGGGATGAAAATGATCCAAGTTTGAATAAAGTATCCATGAGTTCATATCCAAAACACAACTAGATAATTGCAAGTCAAATTAAGGTTCTTATAAGCAAGGAATAACATCACTTCAAAGCAAGTTTCAGTTTAGACTAGAATCCAAATCATGCGATCAAAGAATGGTGCGGTTTCAATTCAAGTTCATACAATTTGCATCAAACAACTATGGACGAGGGCATTAATCCTAAATCTAATGAAACAACAAGCTTTCTGGTTTTAATCATCCCTATCTCCCATTCAAATGCAACAATCCTAAATGCAACAATCCTAAATGCAACAGTTCTAAAACAAACCAAAATGCAGATGCACACTATATGATTACTCTATTTTTAAAGCTTTTTCTGAGAATTTTTCAAATTCTTAGGAATTTTTTATGCACATAAATGAATGCAAACGACATGCTAAAAGTTCAAAAGAAGAACAAAGAACACAATGTCAAATACTATCCTAAACCCTCTCCCAAACTTAAATTACTTAGTCCCTTGTGTAACAAAAGTATGAAAGATGATCTAGGACTCAAAAATAAAAATATAAGGCATAATGCAATGGTATAAACAATTGAGAAATGAGGATATTACCTCAAGGGTTGAAGAAGTAAGAGCCCATAGCTTGGCTCATCTGATCGTAAGTGTTCCCGGTGAAGTTCTCCGCATCAATGTTGTGAGACCCCAGTTTGCGGAGAGGTTTAACTGAATTAATTTGGCCACCTATGTCACCAAAGTGCATTTATCGTTTCGGTCAAGGGTCCTGAGAGTACTCCACAGTTAAGCATGCTTATGCTGGAGTAGTCAAAGGATGGGTGCCTTCCGGGAAGTGGTTGTTAGAACTGTGTGAATGAGGCCAAAACACAGGGAAAGATCATGTGGTGATTTGTATGGTCGGTAAACATGTACTTAAGCCTCCCGGACGTTTAAACATAAACAATTGTACATATATAGCTTCAACTGTACATATACTATATATATATATAAATTATGTATAACAATGGACATAAGAATGTATGTACATATATAATTATATATATTTAGACTATTATACAACTTACAAAGTTTACAAATATAATGTACAGAAGTAATCCGTACAACCTAATAAGTGTACAGTAATCCGTACAACCTACTAAGTGTACAAATAGTGAACAACTGTATTCATATTTCTACAATAGGATATATATACAGATACAATTGTACATACCTAAATCAAATTGTACATATAACTATATGTACAGAAAAATGTAAGTATATTAGTTGTACACAAGGATATATGTACAAATACAATTGTGTATATATATAATATTATACAAAGTTTAAAGTTATTTAACAAAATGCATATCAAATTATAGAGAAAAAAATATATACTTTTTGTATGTGAAAAATATCAGAAAAAGAATTATACTGACGAATATTTTAATTATTAGAATGAGAGGGTGTAATAAAAAGAAAAAGAATTATTTTTATAAAAAAAAACTCTTTCCACACACACACGCACACACCCATTCTCAATCTCTCAACGATAGATGCAAGCCTATTTTTATTTTTTTCCAAACACTCTCTTACCCTACATCCTTTCGTATCTCTACTATTCTCTATCTCACAAACAGTGATACACACCTATTTCCCCAATTATAAATAGTATATTTACTACTTTTCCAATTACTTTATAAAAATGTACTAAACTGCCAACACACCCGTTAATTTTAAACCACGTCCATACACTCCGTGCTACAACATTGCTGGAGAGTTTGAGGCCAACCGATCGAGGTATTTCTGTTTGTAGGCCATTTTTAGTGTAAGTTGGACCGAGGTATTTGTATGAAATCAGAACATACAAATTATTCAAAATACAATCCATAAATAAATAAATTTACTTCACCAAATCGCCCGTGCCGTGGCACGGGTTGCTACCTAGTTTGTAAGTAAACAAAAAACTTGGAGAGTGTAGAGAAAAATATTCTATGTTAATTTTATCCAAAAAACTGAATATTACATATGACATTTAATATTTGTGAGTAAACAAAAAACTTGGAGTGTAGAGAAAAATATTACATGTGAATTTTATCCAAAAAAAAACTGAATATTACATGTGACATTTATGGAAAATTTTACATATGTACATTGTTGTTCTTGTAACTTAGGAAATCCTCTCCCAATCGAAAGCTACTGGAGCTGATTAAATGATGAATCTTGCTTTACTTTAAAAAGCTTTGCAGTTTGGTGAATAGTTGTGATATATGTTGACGCATATGAAAGAGATGTAGGGCTAGTACAAGAGCATGAGCAACTCCCGCAATGATGAACAAACCGCCCAACTCTCGGATGGTGAGGCGCTTAGACGCATCGTCGTATTGAGACGAGGGAGTGTTTGGATCTACAGTAAAGGAATCCAACTTTTGGAACCATCTTTTTTCCATGTCTTTCAGCCCTCCTGATGACCTTAGTTTTGTGATTTCTCTTGACACTTGAGGAGCCAAACCCGAACCCTTCTAAAACATCTAAAAATATGGAAGCAAACAATCACACATAATGGTAATTAGTATAGAGAAACCTAAGGGGGAAAAACATAGAACATTGAGGAGAAGCACATACAAACCCAAAGCCATTGCTAATTGTACTCTCTCTAGCTATCAAGTCGAATTCATCCTCATAATGTCCCTGAAGGATACTGAGGTATGGTATCTCATCGACAAGAAAATTAAGAGTTCCATTCCTTAAAGCTTGTGCATAGTCCGCAAAGGTATTTAAAATGTTCATTCTAAAAGATCTACTTATCGCAGGGTTGATAAACAACTGACTTAAAGCTATGCGAGAAATAGTCTTGGTTGATGTCAAATTCGCGCTGTAACTTGCAGTCAATATCAACACCACAAAAACCCAAACTATGACTAGGAATCTTGATGACATTGTTTGCAGTTTCTCCCCTACCAAAGATTTATACCTCGCACTTCATCAGAGAATAAAGAAAAGGAAAATAAGCTAGGGTAGTAGTATACACTTACTGTGAGCAAACACATGGGTAGAAAACCCAAACCAAAGCATCATACAAAGTTGATGTCCCCAAGAGCCCTGGAATTCAGGATTAACTGTCCGTTCAACTAACCAAACAACAAAGCCAGTCAGCATGAAGAAAGCTCCACTTGCTAGCCACAAGGATTTATCAAAAGGATCAAAGAATGTCCACATGCTCTTTCTCGTTTTCTTTAGTTCCAGGGCTCCAATACCCATATCAGTGTAAGGCAACGTAAAATCAACATAGAAAGATCTGTTAAAAGTGATGGTAATGTCACCAACAGCTGCATGATATTTGTCTCTCTAGAAACAAAAACAAACCGTTATTAGAAACACCATTTGACAGAAAAGTTCATCAAAACCACACTCCCAAGGTAATGCATATGCACCTTATTAAATAAGGTATAAGCAAGTTCGTCGTAGTCATTTCCATCATAAGGTATGATTTCTAGTTCATAGTTGAATGGTTCCATTGAAGTCTTGAAAACCTCTATGCAGAACCCAGTAAAAGTATTAGCACGCATCGCCACCAGATGTGGGAACCAGTTTCTTGTGGTAACTAGGACCCTAAGCCGCTTCCTTTCAACATTCTCTGTCAAAAAACGGTGTCTCGGTATTTTATCCGACTCGTCAGGCCAGATTATGGTCTCAAGTTCATTAGTAGTAGAAGCCACGATGCCTCTCATTCTGCAGAAATCCCCACAAGTCCATAATCCTATTCTTCCCTCCCTAGTTCCTACAATATTCATAATCTCAAATGTTCCTGAGAGAAATCTATTGCTAGTGATTTGGATGTCACCATGACTCAAACCCTTAAATCTACTATGTCTAATTGTCTCACGGATATTTGATACTTTGTCTATAGCAGCATCAGAGGCTCTTACAAATATCTTCTCTACTGCAGTTGCTAGAATACAAGCAATATCGTGTGCCCATACGCTGATGACAACACTAAAATGCTTTGTTTCCATCCCTGCGGTTGTTTCATCAACCATTATTTTTCTCAATCTTGAAGTAAAATTCGAAAGTTCTTCTGATTCTGGAATGTAGGATCTGAAACCAATGACCCTTTGCATTGACCTAACTACAAAATGATCCAAGTGATGAAAATGATTCATGGTTCTTGCAGTGAGGATCCAAGCATATCCTTCTTCCATCATTCCTAAGTTCTCTGCACATCGGAAGAGACGAGAAACAAGAACCTCAGACATATGTACCACAAAAACGGCTGCTCTCAAGGACTTGAGCTTCCGTAGCTGATACACCATGTAATCTGTTCCTAATGATGATTCGTCGAAAGAAGTAGTAAGATCGATGTGGATTCCGTCATCTTGGAAATGATCCACCAGTATTTGCAAACCCTCTCTCCAATCATCAACATCTTCGTATATAACCACGACCGAGTCCCAGTTGAAACCATGTATGAGTTTCGTAATCCCCTTAGCCTCTGACCTCGTGCCGTGCGTCAACTGAATAAAATGATCGTATTTGTTCAGAGATAACGTGTGTGGTACGAAAGTAGAAATGACCGGAACTTTAGATTTCTCGCTAATCGCCGCCAAAAGCCTAGCCTCCTGTAGTGATTGTGCACCAACAATGGCTTCCACTTTTGCTGTATGGAGAAGATCCGTAGCTGTTTTCATACAATTCACCAAAAAAAAGTTTTTTAGAAATTCAGCTAGTAGTGCAAAACGGGTTACACAGATGACGCAAGACCTGGGCCACATCCCACAATATTATTGGCAACTATGTAGTGCCATGAGTGGATGCTGTTTTTCAATTCAGTTTTTGGATTTTTTTTTAGTTTTAGAATTATAGATTTTAGTTTTAGTTTTTCTATGGAAAAATGTTTGTTTAGCTGTTTTGTTAACATATTTTTGGATATGATGTTCATTTTGGATTAGTTAATGAAAGATGATGTTTTAAAAACTAAGTCCACGAAGAGTTCATGTTTTGAATGACCACATAGAAAGTTCATGATTTAAATGGCCAAATTTTGAAAGTTCGGGATTTAAATAATATTTTTCACTTTAGTCTATTAGCTTTTGTATTAAAAATCGCAAAAATTTGGTTTTTGGTTTTTGAGAAAAATAAGTACAAAAACTAGATTCCTAAATTTTAGGAGACTTAAAAATCTAAAATCATGAATGGAAAATTTCAATAAAATAGTTTTTATGAGATCCAAAAATTAAAAATTTTGATTGTTTGAAAATAAGTTTTTGAAAAACAAAAACCAAAATCTCTTCCAAAATCTACTAAACATTCAAGGCTTCCAGTCGTGATTTAACCAAAATCAACCGGCATAGTTTGGTCAAATTGCAATTTTCAGTCGTCAAAAGAAAAAAAAAACAATAGTACCAGTAATTTATTCGGTCTGCTTTGACTGATTCATATAAGAATGTAGTCCACAAAAAAGAAAGAAAGAAAAGAAAAACAAAATTTTGAATTGTTGATGATTGAAGATGATGAAACTCACCGGCGGCAAGGGCAAGGATCGGGTCTCCTTGGGAGTCTCTGGAGGAAAGAGTGACTCTAGTTCTATATCCCTTATTGTTGCCATAGAAATCTGAAAGCGCTAAGGAAAAAGATGTTTCCAGGATCTTTCCTTCTATAGAACTCAAGTCCACCACCAATCCAACCCTAACCTCTTCCAAACCGTTGTCGTTTAGACGAGCTACTACTCTAGAAGAGAAGAGAGAAAGAATGGAAATAATATAAATCAGATTCTCCATTAACGTTTGGTTTGATTTGTTAAAAATTGTCTTTTCAAATATATATATCATGGGCCATAGTTTTATGGACTAATGACGTATTGATGTTTTCTTCTTTCTTCGTCAAATGTCTTGGAATTTTTTAGTGTTGCTGACCATTTCAAATCATATTAACAAATGGAATCATACAAGTCAAATTCAAACGTTCCGTTCATACACATGCATATAATATTTGGCTGGATGAAATTATGAATTTTATAGTCTATCTCAGTATTAGATGTGACGTTCATCTCAAGATTTACAACTGTGCATTGTTGTTCTTTTTAGTTGTAACTTAGGAAATCCTCTCTCTCTCTCCCGATAGCTATACTAGGGCTTTTGAAATGATGGATCTTGTTTTTAATTATAGAAATTAAATTCGATTTTGGTGAAAAGTTGCAACGTCCCTCCGACGTATATGAAAGAGATGCAGGGCTATATTTGCCTTAGTTCATTGGATTTTTCTATATATATTCATGTACATAGACTAAAGGTATTGGAAGCTAACAGTTGGGACGAGAACATATAACATGCTCTAATCTCGAACCTGAAGGGATGTAGACATGTCTTTTCTTGAAGGTAAGAGAAAAGGTAAAACTTATTATAGTAATCAATATATTAGTTAAATCAAAATGAAAGTTTGAAACTCATGTAATTATTCTCTTTTGTTTAATCCAAGAAAAACAAAATATCTATTATGAAATCTCATTCAATTATATATAAAGTTCAAAGTAGGTTAAAGGTAAAAAACTGGTACACCAAAACAAAAGAGGTGGTTGTCAAGCTGTATGACGTAGGAAACTCTCAAGTACGGTTCTTAAGGAGGGAATTGACCCGCCTATTCTGACCGTGGAGAACAGGCCATTACACAAGGAGATTCTGAAATGGCAGAGGCTTGGTTCGCGCAAGCCGTTGAGTATTGGAAAAGGGATATACGGCTTTACTCCTGATAATTATATTGAAGCACAGAATTGGTTGACGATTACGAGGTATTTCGAATAAGAACTTAACCTTTGTTTCTTTTTTTCCATATATATTTTTTTTAATTACTTGTTTTTTAGTTTCTTGGCCCTCTCGGTCAAATAAAATGGATCTTTTTTTCTGTTAGAAGAACCAATCAAAGAAAAAAATTTCATTATATTATTTTTTATAAATCGTTCTATTTAATCTGGTAGTTTCTAGGGGTAGTAGATGAAAAGGTATTTATTGTGTCACTCTCGAGACAAGTCATGTCAATTTCCTCAGTAATTGTAGTACTTGAGATATCGAACCAAATGAGTGGTCTAGGAAGCAACTAGGATATGATCAGAGATAGACAAGTCAAGCTAGATATAGATAAGGTTAAATCTTGCAATCCTAATACATGAATTAATCTAAAGAGTGAAGAAATACAAAAAGCAAACTATAAAGAAGAAGCTACATAATGATGAATTACTGAATAAGAACTATAGAATGATAAACTAAGATGCAATAATTGTTTAGGGTTTAGGGTTTAGGGTTTAGGGTGTAGGGTTTAGGAAAATACTACAATTATTGAGGAAATTGACATGACTTGTCTCGAGAGTGACACAATAAATACATGTTTCAACTACTACCCCTAGAGACTACTTGATTAAATAGAACGATTTATAAAAAATGATATAATGCCATTTTTTTCTTTGATTGGTTCTTCTAATAGAAAAAAAGATCCATTTTATTTGACCGAGAGGGCTAAGAAACTAAAACCGATTAATTATAAAAAAAATATATAGAAATAAAGAAACAAAGGTAAAGTTCTTATTCAAAGTGCCTCGTAATTGTCAACCAATTATGTGCTTCAATATAATTGCCAAGAATAAGCTGTAAAACCCTTTTCCAATTCTGGCGACTACAAGAAAACATGTGATTAGCGACTGTAAAAAAAGTCACTATTCAGTCGCTAAGTACCATAGAACGATTGTTTAGCGAATAAATAACGTAGTCGCCAAACCATGCATCGCTAAATTATTTGGTCATATTTAGCGACTGTATTGCGACATATTTTATTGGTCACTATGACGTCGCAAATCAGTCGCTACATTAGCAACTGATTTGCGTCTATTATGCGACTGTTTTTCGACTGTTCTGCGACTGTTTTGCTACTCTAAATTTTTACTGTTTTGTGACAGAATTGGTTTGGAATCTCGATTTATGCTTTTAAATTTGAGTTTGTAATTACAAATTGTTTTTAAAACACAAAAATGTGTATTTAAAACATTTTCATTCAACACAAACACAAAACATGTTTTCATATTCAACAAAATAACAACCAAGTTAAAACACATACAACCAAGTTTAAACACAATACAACCAACACATGTTTTGAAGTTCTTTCAAGTTCTAGTAGGAGGGAAAGTAAGGGAACCTATTCATCTGCATAGGACTCAGAGTTGAGGAAAGCAAGGAAATTGGGGTCAGTTGTGCTCAAGTACTTCTTGACCAGCTTCAAGTGCTTGATCTCAGCTTGTTGCTCAGCTAAAACCCGTGAAGCCTCTGCTTGAATAGATGCTTGTTCCTCCATCTTCCGAGTAGCTTCCTCAAGCTGTTGCTGCAGGCTTGTTGTGAAAGAAGAAGTGCTTCCTAGGTACTTTCGGTTCCCATTGATGTAATCCCCTAGGCTTCCAACTCCAAAGTATGCTCCTCTATCATTTGTGAAAGTAGACTACGTACATAAACAAAAGTTAAAATATCAGAAATATATCCTTTAACATTTTTCAGGAAAAAGCAAACATACAATCTCAGAAAAATCAGTACATTACCTGAAGAAAGATCTCGTCATCCTCCTCTTGAGATAGCTCTGATCTACGTGAAGTACCGTCAGAAGTCTCATCATTCTCGAGTGCAGCCAACTTAGCTTCCTTGTTCTTCTTATATGCCTCATGAACTTCTTGAGCTTTCTCATCAACAAAAGTTCCATCCTTTTTGGTATGAGTCCTGATAAAAACTTCACCAATAGTTAGAGGTCTTCCCAATTCCACTTCCTGAAATGTTAAAACAATGTTAAGGTGAGAACAAGACCATCAAATATAGCATATCAATTCAAATTTAATGTTCTGAAGTAACTTACCATCTCTTGTTCGACTTGTAAGTAAGACTTTTGCCCAAATACATGCTTGTGAGGACCACGACATTATGGTCTGACATTCTAGCTGATGATGTTGTTGCACTCTTTGCTCGGGTTTCTTCAGTATCCAAATAAGCACATATTTCCTTCCATAGAGTTCCCTCAATCCAAATTGGTTTCTTTCGTCGAGTTGCTACCTTGTAAACCATGTCCTCATACGACGTTGACACACTTTAGAGAACTTTGCTTGAACAAGACTAGTCTATGCTTCCTTCCAAGTGTGTTCTTTCTACAAAACAAGAGGTGTTAGTGACAAAAAACAATTAACAGAAAGGTTACAACATTAGGATAGGGGATAGAATTTTACCGCAAATTCAAGGAAGTATCTCTCTCTTCTTTTGGTAGGCACACAACCCCAACTGTAATATGGCCCATCAAACTTGTTTGTGAAAACCTTTGTAATCTTCTGGGTAAGTGCTGACTTGTCCTTACCAAACCTACAAGAACAAAAGCATACAAACACAAGTCAAACTATTACAGAGACTAATCACAGAGACTCCATAATCTTAATCAATTACAGAGACTAATCATAGAGACTACATTATGCATTTCTGATATCAAGGCATACTTAGAAATACAATCCTAATCACAGAGACTACACAATCGCATTCAACCATTAAACCACTCAAGTTCAAAGAGCCAATCTCATACTTAGACACAAGACAATCAAAGAACTAAGTATACTTAGAAGCTTACCAAGTCGTTCTAGGTTCCAACTCGGGAGAGAGGATAGTCGTATAAAATTCACGGCCTGGCACGCAAAGCAGCTCATATAAAGCAGCGACCTGATCTTCTGGGAGAGTTGGTTCTGTTGCAGCATCTTCCTCAGAACCTGATTAATCATCTTTTTCCTCATGTAATTTTTTTGCTTGAGAACTGTGGTGTGACACAGAGCCTCGAGGTTGAGGAGAGGGTCGAGGTTGATTCAAGCAAGCAGGCCGATTGAACACTAAAGGCTGGTTTGAGAGAAGAGGTATATTCGATGTAGAGGCGAGATGTTGAGGAAATGAACCACCTCTTTGAGCTTCACCAGCAAGAGATGCACAAGGATAGCTCCTTGCAGGCTGGAAAAGATTCCTCGGAGGAGGATAGTCTCTGACGGTAGGATTCGTTGAAGGCTGAAAACGGGGGCAAGACTCTCCTGAGAAACGTTTGTTGTGCCATGACGGTTTGCTGTTGTAAAATTGTACTGGCTGGGAAGCCTCTTCGGTCTCCGATGCGATTTCTAGGAAGCCCCAACAGTCGCCAGTGGAGTTGAGTTGTTTTGCGGAGCTCTTCTGTCGCCTTTCTTCTTTCTTAGAGGCATCAGATTTGACAGAAAACAGAGAGTGGATATCTTTGGGTTTGACAGAGAGAAAGATTGAAGAACAGAGAGATCGAGAGAGAGAAAGATCGAAGAACGGAGAAAGAGGCAATTAGGGTTTCTTGTTTGAGTGGGTGCCTTTCGACGAGAGAAAAAGCAAGATTAGGCTGAAAAAGGCCGAGACCAAAGCCAATTAATTTGGTTCGCAGGCCCAAATAAAAAGGCCAATCACTAATCTGTAGCTAATTAGTCACTACATTTAGGACTACAACAACAGTCGCAAAATGTAGTCGCCCATTTGCGATGATATTGCGACTATGCAAATCAATCTCAAACTACTGACAGTTGGCGACTAAATCGTTTGCGTGGCTATTACGTGACAAGTCAGTGGCCATTCAGTCGCAATATTTAGCGACTGAATTAACTAAGCATAGCAGAAATAAAATAAAGAAAAGTTGGATATCAATCAAACATAAATAGCTTTCAATATGTGAATCCTCCTAATCTCTATGGGGTGCTCAATCAAAAACACAAGCA